AATTGAAAGGTTGAAAGTTTATTATTCAAATGGATTGGCGTTGAGATGACATTAGTTTGTTGATATGATAGTTGCCAGTTTGACCCCAAACTTGACAGCAATAACTAAGATGAGATTAAAATAATGCATAGTAAATATTTAAAATAGTAACTTTATTAACATAATGTCGAATTACTGAAAGCATACCATTTGCACGATTAAGTTTCTTGTGCAGCTCATTGATATGGAAGGTCCACGAAAGATTGCAATCAATTAACACACCAAGATATTTAATAACTCTCGAGGGGTATAGTCACTTATTATTTATTTTGATTTTAATTTCAATGTTGTCACAGTTTTTTCTGTTGTTGTTACAGTTTTTTCTAGGAGATGAAAAAAATTAGTTCAGTCTTTTCAGTATTAAGACATATTAGGTTAGCATTTAACCAATGAACTATACCTTCAAGATCTAAATTTATATTTTTACATAGAGAATAGTATGATTTATTGACATGCAAGAGATTGGTATCATCTGCAAATAGATGAACCAACAAGAAGTGAACAGAGTTACTTAGATCATTAACGTAAATTAAAAACAAAAGAGGATCATGAACGGAACCTTGAGGAACACCACATGTAACACGTTTGTTACTAGAAGTATAACCATTAATACTTACATATTGTTAACGGTCCAAAAGATAAGATCGAAAGCAATCACTTCCAACTCCATGAATTCCATAATGTTCTAACTTAGAAATCAAAATGCTATGATCAACGGTATCGAAAGCTTTTTGTAAATCGATAAAAACACCACAAGCAAAATGACCAGTATCAAGAGCTTTTCCAATTCTTTTCAGTTATATTTATTAGTGCGTGGCAGGTAGAATGGTTTGATCGAAAACCAAATTGAAACTCATTTAAACTCATAAAAGTTAAAAGAGTTTAGAAAAGAGTACATTCTAGAATACATTAATTTTTCAAGAGGCTTACCAATGTTAGATAAAAGAGAAATAGGTCTATAGTTAGTACATAAAAAAATAGAGCCATTTTTGAAAAGTGGAATAATACAAGATAATTTTAAAATATTAGAAGAAATCCCATTCATAAATGAGATATTAAATAGTGTAAAGAGAATATTTGAAAATTCGTAGTAAAAATCAATTAGAATGTTTGCAGGAATACTGTTTGGACCTAATGATTTTCTCGGTTTCAATTTAGATATAAGAGATGAAATTTCAGGAATGTTTGTTGGAGATAAGAGTAGACTATGAAAGTTTGGATATTAAGAACTTTTGATAGTTGACGTAAGACGAATGAATATTGGATTTAAGTTTATGAGCAACATTTGTAAAAAAAGTGTTAAATTTTTCTGAGATTAGGTTCAGTTAAATATCATCTTCTAAATTTCTAAATAGTTGGGAGATAAGCTATTATAATTTTTGACATTTATTAGATTATTAATGCCTTTCCAAAATTCGCAAAGATTTTTTACATTATCTGAAAAGAAATTTTTAAAATGGATTTTCTTGCTAAGTTTAATTAAAGTAATTATCATGAATTTATATCGCTTAAAAATAGTTTTAAATGTGTTTATATTTATTAAATCTTTTGATCTTAACATTTTTTTTTGAAAAAGATTGCTATTTGAATAGATTTTATGATTCCTTTTGTAATTCATGGTTTAAATCGACAATTAAAGCTTTTAATACTAGTTTACATTTTAAGTATTCATACTACGTACTATCTACATAATTACATTACAAAGTGAACTCATGGTTTATAGGTTATTCCATATGAAAATAATTTACTTTTTAAAGTGAAAATAAATTTGCTTACTGACTCAGATTTAGTTCAAATTTTTTCAATCAACAGATTTTATATATAAATAAAAATCAACACTACAAATTTTAGCTTACTTGATCTATACATCAATAAGCAACAATTTAAAATATATGACCAAACTCTGGAATAATTAAGTATTAAGGGCTAACAGTAAACTTTTCTGATTTTGACATAACTTGTCCACAAGAGAAAACTTTACTTCTAAAAAATATTTTTTCCCACATCTTAAATCATTTTTATATCACACCTTAAATTATTGTGATATCAACTAAAATATTTTATTAACCATACATCCGGCTAAAATTTATTTAACCTTGTTACAGCATTAATTTAAGTCATATTTCAGTATTTTCGAATATATTATTTATCAATTAATTTTCATATTATTACTATTATAAAGGAATTTTTATGCTATATTATTTCATATTCTTTATTCAGTTTTGTTTTAATTTTCACAACTTTAGTGTTTTAAAACGATCTTATATCCTACATGTTTAAATCTTTACATTTTAGCAGGTAACATTTTCAATGATTTTTTTTTTTGTGCAATGTTTTTTACATATAATATCATATATTATTTAATTTTTGTTACATTTACAATCTTACATTTTAGATTAACAAAATTCAAATGAAGTATCTATGACTAAGCTAGAGTTATTATTGTAGACTTTTTTAGACTTATTGTGTATAATTTATAAAACTTATTGACTCTATAAGACTTATTGTGTTTTATTTAATTTAAAAGGGTTTTTAATAGGGTATATTGCAATTAGATTGTCTTTGATTTATTTATGCTGGAAGCACATATTTGTTTTTAATTGTCTTAGAGGGAAATATATTATTACTTTTGTTTACATACTTGAGTTATTTTAGTTTTGCTTTGGTGTTTTCATTCGAATTTTAATTTATTGTGAGTTCATATTTTCTACCAGTGGTGTGGTAAATGATTTATTTATTTATTTTTTTCATTCTTAGACTTTAAATTTTTGTATACATACTTTTTATTTTGTATTAAATTTTTGTTTTTGTTTTTTGTATTAAAGTTTTTGTTTGGTGATATTTGTTGTATATCTGTTTAATTTTGTTTAAAAAAAAAAAAAAAATTTAAATGTAAGTTACTGTTTGGGAGCATTGTCTGTCTTATTTTTGCCATCGTGTATGTATATTTTTGAATATTCATCTAATAATCTTTATTTTTGTCTTGACAACCAACAAAATATGCTTTGTTTGAAAAATAAATCTCTTTTATTCTAAAAAACCTCATTTTTCCCTTAAGTGTTGATTGATTGTTTGTGACCATACAGCAAATTTATGTGCATAAAGTTTTTAAATTTTAGTTCTTTTGTGTAACTACTGGTATGCTTAAATTTTGTTTTTTTTACTTATGTTACCATAAGTTTTTGTACTTATGTTACCATGAGTACAAAACAACCTGCAATAAAAATTAAAACTACGCATCAAATATTAAATAAAAACCTAAAGCTTGTAAAAAAAACATGTTCATAAAATATAGACTTCTTTTTCAACTATAGCTGATTGTAGTGTAACCAGGAACATGGTGGAAATTGAACTCAGAACCTCTCACTTACAAATCACTACACCATTACATCATTAATTAAGAAGATTCCAAATTAAAAGTAAAAAGAAAAAATAGTAAAAGTATATTTATAAAGTGGACTACTATATAAATATACTGGTATTATTTTACTATTACACTACTGTAGTGCATAAAAAAATTGCAGTAGTGCAGTAAATTAATTAAATTTTTATAGCACAACTTTAATGTAAAATATATATATATATATATATATATATATATATATATATATATATATATATATATATATATATATACATATTACACTAAAGTTGTACTATAAAATATATATATATATATATATACATATGTAGAAATATGCCTATATATATATATATATATATATATATATATATATATATATATATATATATATATATATATATATATATATATATATATATATATATATATATATATATATATATATAATATATATATATATATATATATATATATATATATATATATATATATATATATATATATATTAAAAGCTTGTTTTTATAAATATGGTATAAATTGCTAAATATGCAAATTTAGCTATTTAGCTATTTCTTCATTCAAATCTTTTTTCTTTCATTTTAAGCTTCCAGCTCTCAGGATTGTTTATTAATTCTAGCCTCCAGCTTTAAGGAGTTTTATTCCCAGCATACATTTTTTTACCTTTTTCTTTTTCATCAGTCCACCGTTTGAAGTTCAACATTTAAAAATTAATGCCAGCACACAAAAAATAAGAAAAAATGCCTTAAAGTTGGAAGATGGAAAAAAACCCATAAAAGATGGAAGTTAAAAAAACAGCCTAAAAACAAAAAACTGGATTAAAAAAAAGCTTACAAGCTGGAAGCTAAATAAAAAAAAAAAAAAAAAATAATTAAATCGGAAAAGAATAGCCTGAAAGTTGGAGCCATTTTAATGAGCTAAATGATGAGTTTAATTACAAGAATATATCCAGGAAAAAATACTTTGTTTCATTGTGCATAAATAACTGAAAAAGGTTCTGCATATAAAGGTTATATGCAAAGACAAATAAAAGACCACTACAACTTTAGCAGTACATTGAATTTGCAGCAAAACCACCTAATTTAAGTTCATTGAGAGTGTTTGCTTGAGTTATATAATTTATACCCTGAAGTTAAATTTGTATATGTATACATTCTCTTCTTTTAATTGATTTTAGTCCTTTTTAATTTCACTTTTTTGCAATAACTTAAATCTATTTGTTATACTTTTAAACTACAAAAGCACTTGAAAAAAACTTAAGGTTTTATATGGTAATTGTCTATAGATATCTTTTATTTGGTATTGATCTACATCTACATTTTTAATTTATTTTATATGAAGTATTTTTTTTTTAATAATTTGCAAACTGTAAAGCTTCTTTTTCGTTTTGACAAAGACAAAATAATTATTTATAAATAATATTTTTTTAATGTAAAAGGTAATAGTCTAACTTTTCAAGAATTTTCCGCTAAAAAGAAAGGTAAAGTTTGCAAATAAAAAGATGATCAAATAAAATATATATTATAAGAGAAATACAAGTAAAAAACAATTAAAATATAAAAAACAAATTTATACTGACCTCTGAAAAAAATTTATGCTTGAAATTTTCTCATTAGTAATATTGTATAGCTATTTGAAATTCTCAAAGAGAAACATGAGCATTACCAAGGTTACTAAATGCAGTCTAGTCATTAAACTCTCTAGCCATTAGCAGCCTCTAGAAGATAAACTACTAGTTTTAAAACTAACAACCAGGTGATCATTAAAAAACTCTACATGCAATGAAAATAATATACAGCAATAAAAATCGTGAAAATAAAGAAAAAATAATAGCAGATAGTTATGAAAACCAAACACTAAAATATTATTTCTTGCCTCATGAAATTTATTGAGAATATAATGATGATGATGATGATGATGATGATGATGATGATGATGATGATGATGATGATGATGTTGATGATGATGATGATGATGATGATGATGATGATGATGATGATGATGATGATGATGATGATGATGATGATGATGATGATGATGATGATAATGATGATGATGATGATGACAAAATTGATTTATTATATTGATGATATAATGTGAGAAATATCTAATTTGATGATGAATTCATACAAGAGTTGAATTTTAGTGATTGTTATAGATCATTCTGTTTTCAAAGTTTCAAAATAAAATTTTGAGATATTGAAAAAAGAATAATAAATTACTCTCTGTTTTATATACATTTTTTTGATAATGTTTACATTATACTGTTTGACTTCATTATTTGGACCACACATATTATCTGGATCAAACTGTTTTCAAAGTTTTAAAAGAAAAATTTGGAATCTTGAAATACTGTTTGACTTCATTTTTTATTTTTGTCCGATGAAATCACTACTAATGTTATTATTCAACTTTGTTAATCATACTGCAGTTTTAAAGTTGTTCTTCTCAACACTTTTCTTTATTATCAGTAACTTCTAGAATTTCACAGAATCCTGAGTTGCTTCTCATATATCGATCTATATATCCATTGCAAAGGTAAAAATATACCTAGTGAATTTGTTCTATTATGTTTTTAAAATTCCAACCTTGGAAATGTCAAGGTTGAAAGTGAATATTTTAAATATATTACTTTGGTAATTAAAACTTAAGCATTTTTCAGTTATGTGTTGCAAAACAAATGAGATGATGTAATGATTGCATATTATGATGCAAAACAAATGAGACGATGTAATGATTTCATGATGTATTGCAAAACAAATGAGATGATGTAATGATTGCATGTGATAATTATTATTACAAGCCATGCTCATCATAGACATTATCAACAGTAAAAGTTTATGTTAACTGTTTTATTAACTAGACACCTAAAATAAAAACTTCGATAATTAAATTTTGATATTCCAAGAATTTATTGGACCTTTTGGATCATGTTCTGCAATTTTAACCTAAATTGTTCTCTGAACCTCCTTTAAAATCTCCTTAAAAAACTAAACTGTGTTCTACTAGATAGTGACTGCAGTGAGCATGAGATACTAACATGTTTACCATAGTATTCCAACATGTTAAAGCAAACAATTCCATTACTCTATGCACGAGATTGTATCAAACTAAAAGATAGAAATCTTCAAAAAACACTCTGTGGTTCTTACAATGAAACCAATTTGTTTATAGTTATGTTTTATTTACTAAAACAAAATGTTGTTAATTGTCTTTATCTTCATTTAGAAAAAGTTTATGAAAGAATGCTATATCAATGACGAATAAGTTTATTTGAAAAATGTTATATCAATGACAAACGAGTTTATTTGAAAAATGTTATATCAATGACAAATGAGTTTATTTGAAAAAGAATCAAAGTCATGTGACCAGTTAGCCAAATAATAAACATGTTAGACTATTTACAAAAGGATCCAATAAACAAAATTGTAAAAATAAATATATTTACTCATAAAACTCTATAGATCTTTCCAAAGCTTGCTGAACATCTATGGGATAATCTCCAGGATCGCAATTTCTGACTCTTCTTATATGTTTGCTTTTGTTTAGTAAATGTTTCTAAGAATATTTTAATTTAGTATACAACATAGCATCAACAATATTTCCTAATGTATTATATGTAATAAAGATACATACATGTATATTCTTTATTACAGAAAATATTTGATGAAACAAAGCATAAAAATTTAATAAAACAAGAAATAAAATACTTAATGGAAACAAGACACAAAATTTAGTCAACAATAAAAAAAATTAATAACAATATGTTGTAATTATGTAATAAAAATAAATTTTATAATTTTCAACTTTTGATTATCACTGTTGCAAAAATTCAGTGTTCACTTTTTACAATAGTAATTTATTTTTAAGAAAAAACATTTCTCAAACAAAAATGTTTTCATTACCTTTCAGAAGAATATAATCATGACACATGGTTTTTTTGTATCAGGTGGAAGTATTTTTCTGATGGCTGTGCAATGTAACTTTAAAACTTTCAAAACTTATCTTTCAATTTATCTTATCGCAGCATAGACTTTGATTTAAATGCTGAATGAGTATTTTTTGCTACCAGCTACAACAAATCTTTCTGTGATGGTATTTGTGCAACTGTTAAAATAGTAGTTTGTTAAAAAAGTTCAAAACAAGTATCTAATGGGCAGATTTTGGGTGTTAAATATAACATAAACAGATTTTAATGTTGATCTATTTTTTGTGTAAATTCAAAATAACAGGCATTTGTTTTAAGTTACTTTTAATGGAATTGACAAGAACAGTTCCAAAACAACAACGATCATCATTTTATTCCTATTAGTTCAAATACAATAAGTTATAGACAAAAAATGTGAACACATTAAATTATTCCAAAAAACAAAAATAAGGAAGAGATTTCATTTAACATTAAAAAATTAGACTATACTGCATGGTTTTATAATGAATTCGGTAGATAGAGATTGTAGAAGATATTAAATTAAGTTAATTAAATAATTAACTTGATATTAAAGATTGCAAAATTTATAACAATTTAAATAAAAAAATCTTCAATAATTATAAATAGTTTGCAAATAGGTGCAAAGTTTTATTCAAATACATATGAAATTTTGAAGGAATTTTAAAATAATAGAGTGGATTGTTAATTATGGTCTTAATAATTATTTTAGATAGAGATATATGTCAAAAAAACAACAATATAATTATCACATTAAATAATATTTTTACGAATATCTATTTTATTTGAAAGAAAATAGAATGCTCATCAATACACGTTTTTTATATTTAAGAAGAGTTTTATACAAGATAGTAATCTTTAATATTAAGTTGATATTAAAGATTGCTAATAAACTAATCTGAAATGTAAAAGTGATAAAACTTTTGTGTGTGGATGATTTCATATGGAACAGGGTGTCTGCCAATATTCAAAGGTGGATTTCCATGATTTTATCCTGATCCGCTTGTTTTTTTAGATTTAATTTAGAGACATTCTATGGAATGACCCATCATTATGATGGGTCATTTAACAGAATGTCTGCTAGATCAGAGAAATTGGGTTATGTTTACAAAAATCAGTAAGAAATCAAAGATAATAGCTCTTGGTCAAACTTACGTTATTAGGTAAAGTTGTTTATTGTACACGCAACATTAAACTTCATTTGACAGATATGATGATCATTAAAACAGACAGATCATTTAAACAGACAGATCTTTTAAAAAGATAGAATGATGATCATTTAAAAAAAAAAATTTATATACAGTTGTCATATGTTTGCTAATAAAATAGGTTTAAAGTACACTTTGATGCATTAACAAGGAATTTTACAAAAGTATCAGACTTTTGTAAAATTATTGTTTTGTTTTTGTTTTGTTTTTGCAGACTTAGTCAGCAAATACAAAACAAAAAGGTACTAAAATTAGAAATAGGTGAGCATCAATAATGAAAATATAAGTTAATCAATTTAAACCCAAGAATTTTTATAAGCATATTATTACCTAATGATTTTTATTTACATGATTACAAACAATTCAATATTGAATTTTTGATCTTTGGATAAAGATTTTGTTGTTTACTTTAAAAAAGCCGCATGTTGGATTTATTTATTTATTCTTTTTATCACCCATGTCACGGTAGTCTCTCTTTTCAAACCCCTATTACGACATTGAACCTCTTTGACGTTTAAAAACTGGGATATTTAGAGGATAGGCAAATTGGGATATATAGAGATAAGCGCATCGCAGCGTATATACATCTACTAATTTATATAGCTATAGGCACATTGAGTGGGCACAAATTGACTTATTTACCCCCCCCCCCCTGTTTTTATGATTGATTATTATAGAACACGTGATACTGATTCTAAGTCAAAGAAAAACATAGGTCTGAAAACTTGAGGGAAGTACTCTAATTTAATGTTAAAGTATAAAAATCTACATTAAAAACGCTAATATTCTACCATCTCTTTAAAAACATTTTAGCACTGTTTTCAAAATTTAAGAAATTAATTTTTTAACTACGCGACACGGGTTTTATTCTCGTTTTCTATTTTTCTAAAATTAATTACAAATGTACATGCATCGACTGACAAATAGGAATCGGCGCAACTAAAAGTACATACATTAACTGACAAATAGGGATCGGCAAAAATAAATGTACATACATCTACTGACAAAATGGCGAAATTAAATGTATATGGGAATTAAATGTACATGATTTGGGTCAGGGTTTGGTTGGGGCAGGAAATCAATAATAAATACGTTTTAAACATTGCGTTCTCTACTGCAGACCTATTCATCGCGCAACCGGATTTTTTAGTGGAGGCCTACTTTTTTACGGCGAAAAAGATAATAACTTCGTAATTTTAAAACTAAAAAGTAATTTTAATTCTCGGTATAGCCTAATTTTTTTTTTTTGATGAAAAAAAAAAATATTAGGCTATACCGAGATAATAATAAACAATTTCAATAAAAGGCAAAGAAATTTTATCAAATTTCAAATTTTAAACATTTAAATAATTATATTATTTCAAAGCAATTGCCAAAAACATGGGTTGAACACTTCAGATAATGAACCTTCCAATACCACTGCTCTGGATAATAACCTCAATATTTCTTATTAAATTGATAATAAAATTAGTGAATTTGAAGCTTTTTCTGATAACGATTCAGATAAAAGTGATAAGAATATTGAAATAGATGAACTAGAGGGTGATTTAGCATTTTGATCTTCTCAGCATAATATCACACAAAATTTCAGTGATTTAATTTGCTGATCTATGACCAGAGCTGCTTAAATGTTAATGCATCCTAAAATTTTATTCAAATTTGTTTTTTTTTATGTATTTAAATAAAATTCATTATATATTGTATTTTTTATGCTATATTTTGTATGATCTCATTATCATTGTCATTATCCTCCACCTTTATTTTCCTTTATTCTATATATTTATTCAACCTTTATTTTAATTTGGCTTCGAGTAAAACAAATACTTTACTAAGTTTTAATTATTATTTGTTGACTAAAGTATACACTTATTAACTCCGTTAATGTTTAGCCTTAAATTATTTTTACTGAACATCGTAATTTCTTAAGGTATTATTTTGTATTTCATGTATACTTTTTAATGTATACTTTAAGGTGTTTATAATATACCGTTAAAATTTCTATAAACTATATTTTAACATTAGACTTATGTGTTAAGAGTACAGAAGTAACCTGATGAAAATTATGATAGTGACTCACAAGATTTTATTGAACATCAAGAATTAAAAAATTCTTGTCTGCAGAAACCTGTCTGTGTATTAAACAAAAGTAAAACCAATATCATAATTAAAAAAAAACACATAATTTTCATCAGGTTACTTCTGTACTCTTGTGAATAATAATTAAAAAAAAAAATACAAGATTGGAAAAAGTGATCGTAATTACCTCTGTGATTAAGGTATTTTAACTACTAAATAAAAGTAAAAACACTATCATAATTTTCATCAGGTTACTTCTGTACTCTTAACACATAAGTCTAATGCTAAAATATAGTTTATAGAAATTTTTATGGTATATTTTAAACACCTTAAAGTATACATGAAATACAAAATAATACCTTAATATATTACGATGTTCAGTAAAAATAATTTAAGGCAAAACATTATATTAAATATGTGGTAGTGGGGTAGTGGTAAGAGCTCTCGCTTTGTAAGCGAGAGGTTTGGAGATTGACTCGAACAATGTCCCTGGAAGTACCGCGCTCAACTTAAGTTCTCCGCGCAGCGGCCTTGCTTGTCAAGGTTCCTGTTTCAGAGTTAAAAAGTTGAGAGAGGGTTGTACAACAATTTACAACAAAAAATAAAACAAAAAAAACAAAAAAAAAACAAAGAAAATGAGTAGCCTCCTCGACTGTAGTGGCCCCCTCGGGCCTTGGGAAGGTGAATAATTAAAAAAAAAAAAAAAAAAAAAAAACAAGATTGGAAAAAGTGATCATAATTACCTCTGTGATTAAGGTATTTTGACTACTAATTTGTAGCCTATAGCAAAACATTTTATGAATTATAACTAATGTTAATAAAAAAAAAATGAACCAAATTGTTTTACTAGTAGTAACAATTTTTTTAAAGGTGAAGGGAGTAGCAGCAAAAAGGGAAGTAGCAAAAAAATTGAATTGGACAGGGCAAGGGATCTTCAAAAAAAGTCTTTCCGAATTCTTAAATTTTGTTAAGTTATTGAAAGTAAGTTAATAAATATAATAATAAATAAATGTAAATATTTAAAATTGTCTTACATTATTTTCTTTACTTTATTGTCATTAAATTTATATATGAGTGTTTCTATGTGTGCGTGTGTTAAAAATTGTTACCAATTGTTAAAAATTGTTACCAATTGTTAAAAATTGTTACCAATTGTTAAAAATTGTTACCAATTGTTAAAAATTGTTACCAATTGTTAAAAATTGTTACCAATTGTTAAAAATTGTTACCAATTGTTTAAAACTACGTAAAGCACCAAAAAAGAGTTTTTAATTTTATTTTATTTCTTTTGAAATATATAGTATAAAGAAATATTTTAACTCATATTATGATTTAAACTTGATTCGATTTTTGAATCAAAACCTGCTCGATTTGAGATACAAAAAAAATTCGTGTTTTTCTAAAGGAATTGTTTTTATAAAATAAATTAAAAATTTAAAAAAAAATTAAAAAGGTTTAGAAGGGGGTAAAAATACCTAACAAACTAACTATAAATATCTATTTAATATTAAGAAAAGACATTGTTTGTAGAGTTCTAAGTTTTTAGTTATAGGCATTAAAAACTTGTGTCAGGGAAGAAACGATAGGTTCCTTCCGTGACACAAGTTTTGATGGCTATAAAAAAAAAGTTATTATTCCGCATGCAATATCTTTACCTGAAATGAAATAAGTTTTTAGAAGTAGCATGTTAGGTATTATTGCCCCCTTCTAAAAGTTTTTTATTTTTTTTTGGAATTTCCAATTTATTTTATAAAGATGATCAAACCATTTCAAAAATATTTCTGTATTTATCCATCCACTAGGATTAGCATCACCTTTGGTACCTGTTGGTGCACCTTTAAGCATGTGGCTACGAAAGTGGGTACGGGGAAATATCAAAAACGGTGGAATAGTATTTCCAAGAGCAATTATACAATTAACCATTGTAACTAGGATTCCCTTTTCAGCAGAAGTTACCTGTCCTACTTGCTTTACTTCTTTACCCGCAACCACTGGCTTATGACCAGTTATAAGAGCTGTTCCATCAAAACTGTAAATATAATCAGCAGAAAATTTATAGCGCTTCTGTACCCTGTCAAGGTTTTTGAAGAAGGTATCTACATTGGTGCGATTGAAACTAGTTGTTCTACTAATGCTGGTAGCCTCTTGCATACAAATAGATAATTTTGTATGATTTAAGAATAAATAAAACCATTTAGTTCCAGCAGTATCACTCTTTTTTCAGTTTTCTGGTATTTTAATTCCGTTATTAATTGCATATTGATATGGAAGTTGCTTTGTTTCTCTAACATTAAGTCCAAAATGCATATCAGATGCTTGACGAAGATAAGTTGAAAGTTCATCTTCTTCCGCCTTATTAAAAATATATTTATGTTGTTCATCAAAGTATAAGTCATTGTAAGAAGTTTCTTAATTAATCTTTATTTTCCGCTGTAAACTTGACTTCGAAATTTTATATTCCAGTGCACCTGCTCGTAGTGATAAACTGCCAGATTCAACAGCAATAAACACAAAAATATCAAAAAGTATCGGCGTACTCTACAAGGCCAAACCTTTGCTTTCCAAGACAACTTAAAAATTCTCTTCTTTTCTTATATTCAAAGTTATATATTCAAAACTAAAATAAATTCACTCTACATACATCAGAAACATGCATCAAGATTAATTTATAATAAAGATAAATTCACTCATGCCGACCCTTTACTTAAAAATTTGAATGCATTAAATATCTATCAAATAAATATTTACCAAAATATCTTATTCATGCTAAAATACAAATTCGGACTTGTTTCGAAATACTTTACTGATAGCTTTTTTCATATCAACGCAAACAAATATATCACACGAGGAACAAGCAACTTCACCTTGCCTTTAAAAAAAACAAAATTCTCGCGATTTTCCTTAATATACCGTGACCCATACTTATATAACAAAATAATACTTCAAAATATGGAACTTAATAAAATGGATAACCTTAATGCTCTGGAAAAAAAACTAAAACATATCATAATTAACTTAACCAACTTCATCAAACTGTGTTAAACAGTTTAGGAAAAATAGTAATAATAAAAAGCCCTACTACTTCTACTATATAGTAGATACCAAAATACATATGTGTATTTATTGAACTAGTTCATTAAAGTTTATTTTATGTTTTAAAGGTTCTCGATGAAAAAACTATTTTAATCTTCTGCGAGTTTCCTTACAACAAAGAATAATATTTTTTAAGAATAATTTTATATATATATTCAACAACGTCCACAGGCAAGTCCCTAGTAGCCCTGTGGTACGACGGCCTTGCATATTTTTTTTAAGTACATGGGTTAATAGCCAGCACCTTATATTATAAACAACGAATAGTTACCTTATTTTGTACAC